TTTCTTGCAGGGGACGGTGGCTTTTATAGCCACTACCGGTGATGGCTTCAGACCGGTCCAAAGGATGAAAGGCCCGGTGAGTCACCATAGCTATGGTGGTGACTCACCATAGGGCTCGACGTGGGTAGCTTCGTGACGTTCTGGAGTGTCGGCAGCAGCTGTTGGACCACCTGGACTCATCAGAGGCGGCTGGAAGCATCTAGAAATGGCTGGCTGTTAGGGTTAGAAACCCTAGGGTTTTCAATCTGGAACCCTTTTGGGCCGTTGGATCTTGCCAGATCCAACGGCTGATGATGTTGACGGCGGCTGGGGGCTAGGGTTTGAAAACCCTAGCTGAAACCCCAAATCAATGCAGGGTTTCCATTTGGGTTTGGGATTTGATAACCGAGCCTCCAGATTTGTAAAACGGGCCTCAGGGTCCTTTGGGCTTGTAATATATATATATATATATATATATTAATAATAATAATAATAATAATATTTAGTAATAATAAATTTAATAATAATAATATAATTTAAATGAAAAAAATGATGTCTACACTTGTAATACCGCTTGTTGATGATTTGACTGAAGATTTGCCTGCTGATGTTCATGGTTAGAGTATTCCTCCTCCTCGAAACCTTCATTCTCTCCCATCTAATGTTCACTCGATGGTCACTCAAAGCAAGGCCGACATCTTCAAGCCTAAGTTTTTTAACTGTTTATATTCCTCAACAAATGTACAATCAATAATGTGATAATTTGAATTCTATATGATGGAAAACACAATATGTCTAAAGGGGCAATTAACAACAACATAGTATTTCTAAGTTACAAATTTGTAGGGTGTCACATAAAAATTTTGTCTGAGAAATTCAAGTTGGGTCTCAATTGAAAGTGGTTTGTGTTCTAATTCGAGTGATATGGGTGGTATTGATGAAAAATAATTTATGGAATTATGTATGTGATGGGCAAAGATGTTAGAAAGCTTTGACGTTGAATAGATCATATAATTTTTTTTCCAAACCTCATAAAAAATAAAAGCCCAAAAAATATTAAATAAATGTCCATGTTCATTTACAATAAAATAAAATCCAAACATAAACTCATACCCATTGGTGAAGCTAGAGGGAGTGGCAAGCTAGGTGTCTGAGAGGAACTAGCGAGCTAAGGCGATTCGTTGTGGCCGAAGAGGAGCTTCGACAGCGTGCGTCGAAAGCTTTTTCCTCTATCCCTTTGTTGTTTTCTTTTATTTATTTTAGTTGGGTTGTTTGGCACGAATGCTTTTCATGTTTTATTTCATGGAATATTCGAGCCCCGCCATGAACTAACCTTATTTGGTGGGGTTGATTTTATTGATGCTTGATTTTGTTTTAATGGTAGATTAAAGTTTATCTTTTGTATTTACTTGTTTTTCTTATGAAGGATTCATCTTCTAGGTTTGAATGAGGCATGAGAGTGTTCATTACTTAGATGAAGGCTAGGTGTTTGAGAGAAACTCAGTCATTAATGCTTGGAGTATTCGAGAGAAACACAAGTAAGATCCACATAAGCAATAGGGTGTAGTAGTTTACTTAAGCTTAAACCCGACATAGTAGTACTATGTCCTAATCCCATAGTGTTTGAGAGAGACTAAGATAGGATTTCAACGACTAAGAGGGGTAGTTTTTATCAATAGCATAGGCTGCCATAGTTGAGACTGAGAGAACATGTTGTGGCATTATATTCTATTATGTTCCTTTGACTAGAGAGATAAGTCATATTATGTCTTTTCATGTCCTGAGTCCGAATCCAAAGTATGTTTTACCAAATTCGAACCCGAAAGCCTCCAAATTAACCGTCAAACCCGAACATGCATATGTACTTAAGCATTTTATTTAAGGATACTTAAATTAAGGCTAGAGACTAATCGTATATTATTCCCTATATGCTATATGATTGTTTTATCTGCATTGAAATATGTTTCACCAAAAATTATGATTTACTGATTTACTGGTTGATGGCTTATGGACTATGGTTGAATGATATATGTTATATGGATATTTGTTTTCATTAGAAATATGATTATGCCGATTACAGATCATGGAATTTACTGTTCATTATGTGAATTGTTTTATTGAGATATTGATTTGGGTAGGATACTGGAGTATGGAGGTTCAGCTCTGATCAAACTGGTAAATCCTTACGAACCTAAGGCGACCCTTGGGTAGGCTCCGAGGCCCCGAGAACTTTATTGGGTAGGCTCTTAAGCCCCAAGATGCTCCCTTAGGTTGGCTCTTTATACCTAATGGGTATAAGGTAAGCCCTATTGATGCAGTTCTGGAAAATTGCATATGGTGTACGGGAGGAAGGTAAACTATGAGTTTTAAAACTTAAACTTCATTATGATTTTTATGATATTTTACTAAACTATTACTTGATTATTTCAACATTATGATTTATTTGCACTGTTGGGACACGCTAAGCTCTAGCTCACTTTTCAAATTGTTTTACCCCTTTCAGATACTTTTGGATAGGTACCCCGAATCAAGGAATTATAGGATCGACATATTCTTGCAGAACATTTTATTGTAATGTTTCTATCTTCCGAATTGCTTTCAATTACAGTGACATGTGCCTTTATTTTGAAGTAATTATTTCATGATATTTACTACTTTTGCAACTGGTATTCGAATTATCTCGATATGCAATTATGACATGTTTTATTCTACTTAGTCATTTATAGTTTTATAATTACAAGTTTATTTTTTTTATCGTTATCTATTTTATTTTTATATATTTTAATTGTAATATTATAAATTACCGAATAACGTTTTGGAAAATATTTTAAGAATTTTTAATGTAATTTGTTAGACCTAGTCGTAACACATAGGCCGGGTCTATGGGGTTACACCTAGAAATCGGTATCGATACCCAAGAGATCAGTATCGATATTGTAAAGCCAATATTGATACTCTCGTCTTGAGTAGGGTAAAGAACCCTTCTCATCTCAAGTATATTAGTTTGGGAATTGAAGGCATTTTAAACTCCATGAATAAGATTTCAAGCGAGAACAACACTAATGTTTTAATCACACGTAGAATTTTTATAAATTAAGGAGTCATAAAACTAGCCTTGTTTGATGCTCAGGAAACAACCATGACACTCGGGTTACTCTAGTAGCAGAAAGGTCTTGGACACATTTTAGTTAGTGCATAAGGCACTTTAATGCTGATCGGGCATAGATGCCCCAAGTACTTGTATGGAGTAGGTTGGTCGGGTGGATGTTTCTGACGTAGAAATTCCATATCTCACCCTAGGTAGGTTAGAGGGGTGTGTGTCTCTGAGATGTAACGAAACCCTCTGACCACACCATGATGCCTACCTCTGTACGTATGTTTAGATTAGCATTCTTCTATGTATTTATGTTGCAAGCATGATCATATAGTGGATGCAAGTAGTATAGTTTGGTTATTAGTGTGACACTGAGCTTGTTAACGCAACGTTCATAATTTATTTCCGTACGTAGGTTCTTAGGAGGAGCGTTCGAGGAGTTTATCGCGCAATCCATATTTCAGATCGACATGAGCTTTTGAGTAAATCTTGAGTCTTCTTAGAGGGTATGTACTGTATATGAACTTTCTTGTATTTTGATTCATAACCGTATTTTGAAATATTCTTTTCAAATAGTCTGGATGTATTTTTTAGGCTCCTATAATTGTAAACTTGAATACTATTATTCCTATTATATAATCATGATGGATGCTTTTAAATTGGTCTTTATAATTGTTTTAAAAGTATATTTTTGGGTTAGCCATTTAGTGGCTCCGTGTAACGTACTAATCTTTGGATTGTAGTGAATTAGGACGTTACACAAAGGTGACTTGATTTGTTTTCTGGTTTTATAATTCTTAAATGCCATTTAGGAATACTTGTGAAAGCGTTTTAGCCCAAAATTTCGTTTGAAGTATAAAAGGAATCTCAAACACATTATTTTCAATTACAAATTCAAGTTTAAAAAGTGATTATTGATTCAAACCAAAAATCTAAAAAAAACAATGATTTTACGGTTGAAAAACTCGCTTCTCAAACGAAGCTACTATGATGTGAAAGTTACTCTACGATATGTTCAATCCGACAGAAGAAATGTAGATTCTCTTATGTTTGAGTAACATTAGATTGATACGAGTAAATTAGGTCGGTTTTAGTATTTTTTTTATTTTAAAAAAGGCATTCTCGTATTAGTAGTTTATCAACAATGATGTCCTTCACAGAGATGTTAAAATTACAGTGTGGTGTAATACCATGGAGGCATGCATTTTGACTCATCTAATGCCTCCTCAGATTTGAACTAAACTCAGACAGATAATAATACATGAGATAATTAAAAAAAAATCGTGCAAAAAAATTGAAGTAAGAATTAAATCACAGTATAAAGAGGTGAAATTATATTAAGCTATAATTTATAAATGCGATGAGAAATTCCTGTTTGATTTTCAAGCATCATCTTGTTCAGTTAAAGTGCATCCAATCAATTCAAGCATAAGTGTTTAAACTGTATCATCACATGCGTGTAGGACTAATCGACCCCAAGTGTCCGGAAAATTCATAATCGGTCCCTTCAAATTTTACCTGCGTCTCATATGTTCTTTGAAAAGTTCACTTTATACCCCTTTTTCACTCCCCTGTTTTTACCAGATGAATACATCGAGAATAGGAAACCTGAAGTATTAACAACCCAATTAGTTTTAGGGGCTAGCAATTAATTTGGTGGCTCTGCCTGTAATCATATGGTTTTTAACCTCATGATAATTTAGAATATATATTAATGTAAAAGTTAAAAAATTGTAGGGAAACAAATACAATTTTCCAATATTTTAAAAGGGTAAAATAAAATGATTGAAGTTTTTCAAAGGACCTCATATTAGTTTTCCCAAAACATGGCTTTGTAGTTCCATCTCTGTCCTATCAACAATGTTTTTTTTTCAGATATAAAGTAATGAAGAAAAATTTATGATTGGAAGGAAGCAGGGAGTGGTAATATATTTACAGTAGCAGCAGACACCTGCTCAGTGACCTCTCACCTATCTTCTATTAACACTTCTTGGTTATTGGGCGATTCAACTCACTTGGAGTTGCCCTCCCCTGAATTGTACTCTGTTTCACCATTATTGTACCTTTGTCCGTTTTCTGAACCCAAAAACACTAACACTTCACGTTCACACAGCTCCATTTTTATATCTTTTAAGCTTCAGCTACATAACTGAGAAAGGTGAAAAAAAGTTTGCACTATAAACCTCATGGATCTTCATATTATTATTAGCTCAATAGCTCTCATTGTCTTCCTCGTGACCCCGAAAGGTTAATGTCTAGCTCATTCTGTTCTGGGTTTCTCTCACATTTTCAAATTTTAGCAAAGATTTGTTCTTTAAACTTAAAGTTTTTTTATCAGGTGCGTACGGTGCATCTTTCACGTTTGTCAACCGTTGTGATTACACTGTTTGGCCTGGGATTTTAGCAAATTCAGGGAGTCCTGGACTCGACAGCACTGGATTCGAGCTTCCCAAAGACTCTTCCCGTTCGTTTCAAGCCCCGACGGGTTGGTCGGGTCGTTTCTGGGGCCGAACGGGCTGTAAATTCGACGGATCCGGTTCCGGAAACTGCTTAACAGGCGATTGCGGGTCGGGCCAGGTAGAATGCAAGGGACTCGGCGCTGCTCCACCCGTAACTCTGGCTGAGTTCACTCTCGGAACAGGAGGGCAAGATTTTTACGACGTCAGTCTCGTTGACGGCTACAATATGCCGATGATCGTCGAAGGAAGCGGCGGGTCGGGTCTTTGCTCTTCTACCGGATGTACGACCGACTTGAACCGGCAATGCCCGTCGGAACTCCGTGTCGGCGACGGTGACGCTTGCAAGAGCGCGTGCGAGGCGTTTGGAAGCCCGGAATATTGTTGTAGCGGCGCGTACAGCACACCTGCCACGTGCAAGCCATCGGTATATTCTGAGATGTTTAAGGCCGCTTGTCCCAGATCTTACAGCTACGCGTACGATGATGCTACGAGCACTTTCACCTGTACCGGAGCTGATTATACGGTGACGTTTTGCCCATCTTCTCCCAGGTAGTAAACTAGTAATTCACTATCATTTCGTTCGATGTATAATTTAGTGTTACTTTCATTTAAAAATTTAATTCGACTTCGAATATAATAGAGATTCATTTATTTAATTATCTGATAGGTGAATCTAACAAAAGATTGTATATTTACAGCAATAGCATTTAACAAATGGTTACTAATATCATGTTGGTAGAGGCTTTTAATCTTGTAGTCGTGGGATCGAGTTCTACGACGACAATTTCATAATGTTGGAAGTCTTCTGCGGAAACTGTTCTCAACCTAGCGTTGGGACATCCTACTATCCTACCTCCCCTTACCTTATTATATATGGGAATATGATCAGCTAATTTTTTACTGATATCATGTTGCAGTCAAAAATCTATACCAGTTACAGAAACTCCCCCAATAACAAGCTTAGCATCACAAGGATCGGGGTCAGAACCCGGGTTAACTTATTCCGATAACGGCAGTTACGGATATTCGGGTTCGGGTTACTCGAGTTCGAGCTACACATACTCCGGTTTGGATTCAAGCACTGAAGCAGGAGGGTCTGGTGAGGCAATGTTGACAGATGGGTCATGGTTAGCTGGGCTGGCAATGGGAGAATCAGCAACAACATCAGATCCTTGTATTCTACAATATGCACTAATGGCATTATTAACTGCTGCCTGTCTTTTGGCTTCGTGACATCAATTCTACTTGTATTATTAGGGTTTCAATGTATAATATAACACTAAAGGGTGTTGTTTCCCTAAAGTTGAGCTTTTCTTTTCTTCTTGGTATGCACCGAGTCAGATTTTACTTTTAATGAGACAATTGAGATTTAAAATTAAAATTAATATTATTAAGAGATGAAATAATGAACTCCAACATGAATCATGAAATAGACAAAAGATGCATATAAAAATAACTAGATAAATTGATTGATTTGTGTTGGGTTTTGGCATCCGTTATCTTTAATAAAAAGCTTGTTGTACCATGTATGTAATGTGAATCGAGGAAATTGGGTGGTGTTGTATGTGAAGGAACCGAGCTTCGAGCTTCGAGCTCAGCTTTTGCCTTTTGGTTACCGTGGCATTGCACTTTGTTCCGTGGAAAAAAGGAATTAATACTCAATAGTGGTAAAACAATATATATTAAAAGTGGTTGGTTGAAATACTAAATGCCTAAATGGGACCTTTAAAACGTAGGAGTAAAGTGGAGTGGGGTTAAATGACCTTGAAAAATCTGCCTAGAGAATAACTTTCACCAGCTTAGCCTGGATTTTGATTATATTAAAGCTTGGAGGCATTGCATAGATGATAAAATGTTTAACTTTACACCATAAATTAAGGGGGAAATAGATATTGAAATGTCTTCAAATGAATTATTTATATAGAGGGTAGGGTCCTACCCATTATCATAACTAATAATTCTACTGACATGGTGGTGTTTGTTTTTGCAGAGGTAAAATGTCCGCAGTCTGCGGACCACATCTGCAGGCATCTGCAGCAGAAGAGGTGGACCAAAAGTCTGCATTCTGCAAGAAGAAGACTGTTTATTTTTTAACGTATGCAGATTGCTAAAATAAACTGAAATATAAATAAATTGATTTTTTAAACTTAAAAGAATTTTGTAATACTGATATTTAAATAATTTTAGTTTTACAATACTGAAATTTAAATAATTCATACAACTACAATAATAATTTTTTTTAGAAAAACAAACACCACCTTATTAATTCTATTATAAGTCTCACATAATCACATGCATTATTAGTTTTATAAGTTTTATAGAATAAAATTTATAAATGATCATTAAATTATATGATTTTTTAAATATGTAATTATGTAATACTTTTAATTTTTTTAAATATATATTCATAATTTATTTTTATAATTATATGATATTTTTAGAAAATATTTTTTAATTTATCAAATTATTTTTTGATTATTTTTATTTAATTGTGATTATATTTAAAATTTTAAAAACATAATTTATAATTTTTTATATTTTAAAATCTTAATTATCAAACAATGAAATCATTTTTTATTAAGCAATTTGGTTTAAATACTTACATTTTTTATAAAAAGTTTAAAATATCAAAAAATTATATTTAAACTTAAATCAAAATAATTAAAATAAATATAAAATTTTAATAATATATAAAATAATTTATATGATACAAAATTAAATATCTATAATATAATATTAAAAAATTAATATTTTATTTATTTAAAAAATTAATATTAAAATTAATATCTATAATATAATATTAAAAAATTAATATTAAAATTAATATCTATAATATAATATTAAAAAATTAATATTAAAAAATTAATATTTTATTTATTTAAAAAAATTAATATTAAAATTAAAATCAAATATAATATAAAATTAAATATAAAACCTCTTTGAAGATGTTAGAAGACGTCTGTAAACATAAGACCACGTCTACGCCTCGCAGATCACGCTTAGACGTTAGAAGAGCTTCTGTCTTCTAAAAAACAAACGGTCTACGAAGCCCAATGTCTGCGCGTGATCTGCGCGGCACAGACATAAGAGCTTTACAGACCTTACACAGTAAAAACAAACACCACCTATATTATCCCGTCCATTATCCTAATTTTCCCTTTATTTGTTACCTCGTTTTTTTTTTTACTTTATCTTCTTTGATGATTTTTAACTTGATAATTGAAGATTATTTTCAATAAATTCAATAGTGAATAGACTCCATCTAAAGGAAAAAAATTATATATTTGTATTTTATATTGATCTGACAACGAAAAAGAAAAATCGAAAACATAAAAATAAATTATTCTAATTTATATTTATGGATATTATATTATTTCTTTAGTAAAAACGTGCGACAAATTTGAAATTCAAGATTTAAAAATGATATTTAGAAAAGATTTAAAGTTTAATAAAACAATAATGATTAATGTGATGATCGATATAATTATCAATGATGTTCTATGATTTCTAAATTTGAAAGAAATTATCTTTTCTAATAAAATATTTCAAGTCAAATATTTTTATCATAAACTCGACTCTAACCCAATCTTAGTTACCACTCAAAATTTCAATCCGTCCAGTACCAAATTTGATTTTTTCATTCAACTAAAGAACTCATCTCTATAAGATCATATCTAGGCCTGTAAATGAACTGAACGTTCAACGAACCGTTCATGAACCGTGCGGTGGAAAGTTCATTTATGTGCGTTTATTTATTAAATGAACGAACATGAATAAGATTTTTTGTTCGTTTAATTAAATGAACAAACATGAACATAGGTTTCGTTCGTTCATTTAGGTTCGTGAACGTTCGGTTATGTTCGTTTGGTTATGTTCGTTTATGTTTGTTCGATTATGTTCGTTTATATTCATTCATTTATGTTTAACCCAATCTTCTTAAATCAATTTTGGTGACCAATTTGTAAGCATCTTAAAAATATTAATCTGATATTCTGATGACCAACTCTATAATTAACCCAATTTTATTTGGAGATTAAATCCAATATGTTAACCTGTGAGGCACCTCGCTCTTATATTCATTTTCCCCTTTTTTTTTCCCAAATCTTATTGTTCACTGGAGAGTGGAGACGATTTCTGAAAGATTCAAAACAAGTTATATTATAGTGCAATATGAAGTTTTACATGTCTATTTTCATCTTTCTCTGTTTTATTTGACTTAATAGTTGATATGTAAAGTTATTGTGGGTATCTTCACATCTAAAACTCAAGAAAACATAATACTTCTTTCTAGAAATAGATGGGAAGATAAAGGTAAAAATCGGAAGTATATGAGCATCAGTAAAAAGAAAAATATATAGAATTTGCCAGAAAACAAAACAAAGGTTTCTATGCAATTTCTGAAAAAGAGTGTAATAGCGGAAAATGATTGTTCATATGTAATCATGGAACACTAAGATAAATGTTATAGCGTTAAATTAAAGTTGTGCGAATCATTTAATATCTTTAAAAGATCGATCGAAATATTTGATATCTTCAAACATTTCATCACTGCTAATAAGCTCTTACGCTATTTATCACTGTAGATTTGGTTGATTTGCATTGTCGACTATTTTTCATGAAAGAACAATGGAAGGTAGGGTCTCCAACGTTTATGTTCGTGTTCATTTATGTTCGTGTTCGTTTATGTTCGTGTTCGTTTATGTTCGTTTATTTATTAAATGAACGAACATGAACAAGTTATATTCCTTAATAAACGAACATGAACAAAAAAAATTTTGTTCGTTTATGTTCGTGTTCGTTTATGTTCGTTTATTTATTAAATGAACGAACATGAACATACCTTCGTTCGTGTGCTTTCGATTCATTTACAGGCCTAAATTCATATCATAATCTTTTAGGTCAATATCTCATGTCTATCTATATATATCTCATGTGCAGCGGTGCTTGCTAGACCTAAGATATTTCTCATAACAATTTTTTGAATAAATAATTTAAATTTAAAAATAATTACGATTTTTTTTGGAAAATTTAAATTTTGGTTTAATTTGAAATTTTGAGTTGTCATCAATATTTAGATTAGGTAGGTCGAATACCTAAAAAATATGTTTTAAAATATTTTTAAGAAAAATTATTTAAAAATACAAAAATTGGTCTACTTCTACCAAAGATTCATTTTTAAAGATTCGATAGTCGGTTAAGCATGAGAATGATAAACAACCCCATAGTACCCAAAATTAATACCTTCGATTATATGTTGTCTAAATAGTGAAATTTTACAAATTCAAATTCAAAATTTAAATTATGATCCTTTTATTTCTATGATTTTTTTAAGGAATAAGTGAATCTATTTTTAAAAGTTTTGACTCGGTGAAAATGATTTAATTCACTCGATTTAATTTGAAAACGGTATCCCTACTACGTGGATTAATGAAAATTGAAATTCAGTGACGTAATTTCGTTACCCACGACGTTACCTTTGATTAATTTAGAATACGAGAAAATAAATGTATGATTCATGAGTAACAACATATTCAGGATGAATGAAATATCAAATATAATGTGACAAATAAATATATATATATATATATATATATATATATATATATATATATATATATATATATATATATGACTAACACAATATTTATTTATTAATATAAAAAAATTGACGGAAAGTTTCCTCACTCGTACGTCTTAAAGAATCAAATTCCAGATATTTTGAAAGTTTTTTCATAGACGGCTCTTTGTTCAAGATATTTCCAAAAAAAAAAAGATATAAATTTTTTAATATAAAAATAATTTAGTCCTTAAAAATACAAGTATATAAAAAATGGTTTTCTTAAATAAAGCAAATTTATATTTTTAAGTATTAAAGGTATAAATAAGTAATAAATAGTTTTTATTCGAATAACATTCGAAAGATTTTTGGATGTCTTTCATAGGTTAGTTGAACAAATCAAAAATTTTATAGATACTAAAATATTAAACAAACACTTATATTTAAAATATAATACATAAGTAATAAATTAAAGAAATATCACCTTAAATAATGTATATCCATTTATAACAAGAAAACTCAAGATCACAATTAAATTAGCACAAAGACTCAATTATAAAATTTAGAAGTGAAGGTCAAAAGCACACGAAATTGGAATAATGACATTAAATGAAAATCTAGAGAAATTACAACCAAATTAAAAGGGAAAGAAATAAGAACGGAGAAATTAAGGAAGGAACCATCTGCCGTTATTTATTGAATGAAAAAAAGGGGAAAAAAGTTTAAAACAATAAAAGGACATAGTAAGGGATGTCTAAAG